ATCATTTTACCAAAGTATTCCTAGTATTATATGCTATTGCAGACTGATAAAAGACATTCAGATGGTAGCAAGTTGTTGGCGTACTGGGGGGGTGGGGATTTAATCCAGTGCGTTTAATGGACATCCAAAACAAATTTAACGCAAGGCTCAATTTCATTCGTGGTATTAGGCATCAAAACGAAACAAAAATACGATAATAGTTTTTTTATATGGTAATAGTGTAGCACTAAATGTGTTGTAGCTATAAGAAATGAATGATTAATAAAGCACAATCGGAATTTAAATAATGTTATTATTTCTTAATTTTATAAGCGCATGTATCTATAATGATATATGCACATAATAGATTCTGGTCTTTGATACAGCTCACTTATGGCAGTCATCCTCGTGCAACGTTCATGATGAGGAGGGAACGATGTTGAGTTTTCTAAATGTCATTTATGAGAAATGTGTCCTTGGCTTAGTTATATTATTAGGAAATCGGTCAGCAGTGTTAAGCTGGCATAAATGGCTTGAGATAACAATTATGTTGTCTATTAAGACAAAAGGCCTATGCATTGTGGAATATTTATCATTTGCGGTGTGGTACAGCTAGCTTGTTGTCCGCAGAGCAGGGAGGCTTCATTCTTTCAAATCGGCGGTCGCGTCAGTTGGTCTGCGAGGATTAAATCAACTCGAGGCGTGCTATTTCTTTACGCAACCTGGGCTGCATGTTTGTAAATAAGGTTATTGAATATGTGTTGCGCGAAAAGATGACAAGTAATCGTAGATGATAGGCGAGGTGGCCCGAAGCATGCAAAAGAAGGAAAATATAAAAGGGCAAACAATTCTACTTTCATTTATTTATGTAATTGGATATGTGCGCACATGCTTTTCCTCCTCTTTTATCTCTGGGGGGTTTTTTTGTTAATGTGTAATGTCCCAAAGCAAAGAGAATGAGATCCATTAGTAAGATAAACTTGTGATATCACTCACTCAACCGTCATCCACTTATCATAGTGTCATGCAAATATTTATATTGTTATAAATGCCTTAGCTAAGATATCAGTATAGTTATGTCTAGAGGCCGCTAAATCGGTCATAAGTGACACAGTTCCTGCCTTTGTCGAAGCATATTTTCTAATTGAGCTTAGGTGTGAGGAGGATATCCTCAAATAAAATTAGGATGCAACAAAGAGGTACAGCTTCATGTATAGGAATATATGATTTATGTGTTTTTATAAATAAGCATAATTGGTCAGAAATTGCAAAGGAAGGTTAACAATATTATGTATAGATAATTAACAATTGGATAGAGTAGAAAATGAGGCTCTGCTTTTCTTGTCTTCATATTTGTATAGAAATCTGAAAGGCAGAATTTTATGCTAATTATTATCTTGGTTGGAAATACGTGATATAGGTTATCCTATGGCTGGGTCCCAAATGGATTCTCCATGAAGAAAGTATGTGGGCAGGTTTATGAATTCAAGTAGTGAGCTGCTGCGCAGGTGCAGTCAGGGTGGGGGCTTGGGTTGTGAGTTCTTTCTATTACTAAATTGTGGCTTTAGGTAAGTGCCACTTAGCCTCTCCTGCTCAGTATTCCCATTTTCAGTTAAAATGGTAGGATAACAAAAAAAATCGGAGGTTACGGGAGAATACCATGTTGTTAGGTTGTAAGTGTTTTGGGGATTAAATGAGGTCAATGCATGACAAAACATGCTATTAGTAACAAAAAAATCGATAAAGAACTAATAATAGTAGAGCAAGCAGCCTGGGCACATTAACAAGCTAATAAATCAATAATTTACTATTGTCTATTAACCACCCTCCAAGCCCTGTGCAACCAAGGCGAGTCTTCTACAGGAGTCTTGTCACGTGATGCGCATGATTGGTTAGCTTGGAATAGTGGGCACAGGCACTAGAAAAGGAGAGGAGTATTGAGAATGATATGTATGATTGGTCGGCGTAGTGGGAAGAAGGAGAATGCTTTAAGAGTTAACTGGGCTTTGTTCTTTTTTCTCTCTGGAAATTTTTGGATGAGTAAGTACTTGTCACGATATTGTTTTGTTTGTTTTGATATTTAACGTAGCTATTGAAAAAAATGAGAATTAAATTGGTCGAGTGAAATGGAGCTAGGCTAATCGCAGGGGGTAGAAAGGATGTTTGCTTCCCAGTGCAAGAAAAGAGGCGAAATCCTCAGTGTCAACAACAGCATTAGCTCTCATTTAATATAGACACTGCGACCTTTACACTAGGAAAAGAAGGAAGAAATTTCCTTCTGATGTGCCTTGTCACAGATGATGGGTCTCTGAGAATTTTCAGATTTCCATCTTAAAGATCTTGTGGTTCGGGGGGCGTTTTTCCTGGCTTTCAGGTAAATATAAGACGATCCATTTAATTTTTGCTGCTGGCTTAGCATGTTTGAAATGTTACTGATACTTATTTGGCTGTAAGATGTTTCTGATAAAAAAAAAAGAATGCTTTAGAAGTAGAGAACATTTGAAACTGGTAGGTAGATCTACGCTATTAAAATTATTGTTTACATTAACTAAGAAGGAGTTAAGAAATAATAGGCTATTGTTTGAGTTGACTTTACACTTATTCCTGTGGCTAATGTGACTAACCATGTTAATGGCGTTTAGTGCTCTTAAGACTTTAGGTATCATTTGACGCATATTTAAAGAAACATTTATTTCATGCAAGTCAACACTGGCTTTCTTTAATAATGTTCTTTGTATTAATCATTTTTTGCTGGCTTGTAAATCTGCAGTCGGTTTTGACTCAAGCTAATATGATGAGCTGTTGGGTTTGGTGTGGTTTGATTGGGCGTCATCGTCTAGAGGTTAGTAGTGGGTGGGCCTGAGGGTCTAATGGCCCTCAGCATGCAATTCCTTTCGTTCTTGGGAACCTCGCGCTAAAGGGATGATGCCTTACTATGTGTGAGTCATCGCTTTCTCATGGGTGGAAATGCAGTAATGACTTAAGAAGTGCTGGGAGCTAGAGCTAAATTATTTGTGAAGAGGGGCTTCTGCTAAATTGGCACTCACAGGGCCGTCATTGTCATGGGTTCGTCCGACCTCACTAACGGGAGTTTCAACGCCAAAAGTGCAATGTCTTTGGCCACATCGGGCTAAGTCAGTGGGATTGGAGAGAATGCCTCATCTGAATTGAGAGTGCTATGGGCAAAGGCTTTAGGAGACAAATAGTGAATAATTAATTTGACGGCCATGTTTTCCTAGCCAATAAGATAGTGTCGCCAGACATAAATTATGTACAGGCTCAGTCATCTAGAGATGGTAATAGAATAACAGTAGAACTCGTAAATTAACTGGTAATCACGCCCTCATCGCGAAAAGACAATCGATTCAACTTCAGTTGAACAAAACTCTGTCTACCTATAAATATACCATGCTGTGTAATATGCACATAGAGCATTTTGGCATTGCTAAGAATCATATGATTTGCTGCTTTGAGTTGTACTGGGGATGAAAAGTATTGATGAATATTTTCGCTCCGTTATTTTTTGGGGGGGGGGGACCAGTTTATGCTCAAAATTCTACGGGATCCAGGTTAGAGGACAATATACATAAGCTCTGGGGCATTCACGTGGAGTTGTGGTTATGTGTGATTGTCCCTCAGGTTCATGCATCTATATAAATTGTTTTATATGGCGCAGATTGGTCGGCTGTGTAGCTATTATTTGTTTGATGATGAATAGTATATCTGGCTAGCAGGTGTTTGCTTTGTGATAGTACACGAGTTCCTGAAACGTTTCTGTATGTGATAAGCAATATTTATGAACAGTAATGATATTATTATCACTCCTCACCGAGATTTACAGTGGGATAGAAAACTGTAGTCATGAGTAGCTCTCTACCGGCATAATTGCACATCAAACTAGTGCGTCGATATAGTCGAAGAAAATGGCTGAGATGGTTAATATGGCTATGGGCCTGAGTGGCGAACTCAAAAGTTAATCTTTATGTAGTTATCCTTACCCCCCATTGCTACTTCGCCATAAGTATCTTAGATAAACATAGCGTAGTGTGAACAATTGTCTTTGGGGGGGAGGAAGGGTGGCAAACATCTATGAATGAATATAAGATTGTAGATCTTTATTCCATCACTTCTTTCTAAATAATAGAGACATTTGTAGCGATTTCAATATTTAACTGATGAGTTGCGCGTAATAGTAATTGTTAGTTACCGTGTGTTGGCCTCAACTGGAGTCCTGTCTCTATTCCTTTACAGTATGAGGGTGGCGGCTAGTTCTCCATAGACAATCTGGATTTGGAAATAGGTAGGCCTAGACGGAACCTCATCATAGATGGGCGTTCACTGATGAAGAGGGCTGTGGCGTAAGTGAGTAATCATCTTATAGGTAAGAGAGTTTTGGAAGGCATAAGTAGTCATTTATTGAAGTAGTTACTATGCATGGAACGCTGCATTCCCTGATTTAAGCATTCTCTATTTATTATAATACTTCACGCAATCCTTGCCAAGGGTAGTAGTTCTTTTGGACTTTACACATATTGGCAACATACTGAAGTCTTAGAGAAGTTGAAGTAAAAATTGATTTGGCATGTAAGTAAGGCTTTATCTTCATTTGCAACTTGCGACTTAGGCTCTCGTCTGCTGAGATCACGCGCTCTGGGCTGACTGCAGCGTTACGCAACGCATGAGTACCTGCGTTATTCGGCATATTCCATGGCCATTCAACATATATACATAGGACTGGTGCCCAAGGTATTGGGGGTATACGGGGATATTCTAACGTTGCTAGATTGGGGCATGCGCAATCCCACATAGTATGTATGCTGTATTGGAAGCTTTCCTTGAATTGTGATAGAGAAAAAATACTTTCTAGCTGTGAGGATTT